CACACCAAAAGAGATCTTGGAACTAAAGAACTTAGGTTCATGCAAAACCTTTCACCTTTTTCATCCATGCCTAGAAGGTGCAGATAAGTGGAGTCAGATTTGGTCAAATTCTAGCGGCGCAAAAAAGCCTACTCACGAGCGGAAAATGGTGCTTTTACACGCGCGATGAAAATGACCTTGCAGCGGCCAGACAGCCCTCTTGCTCGATCCGCGCGAAAGTAGCGTCAGCTCACTCGCTCGCGGAGTCTGGTCCTGCGAGCGCCGTGAAAAGTTTCTCACACTTTGGGGCCGGAACCCCTGGATTTGACAGGGTGAGGAAGCAGAGTTTGCCAGGTTTTGGATAAATGTCCTTACCTATCATTAATTGATATAAATAGACATAATTCCTAGGAGTGTAAAGCTTTACGAAACACTATAGTAATAAAATATGCAGTTCATTATGAAAATATCAATAATATTCACTATAGGCAGTGTCTATAGTGGTGTTCTTTCAAAAACACCTGACAGAAACACTGATATATTTATACTATTGGTAGTACTATTTTAAAATAATGATGAGTCTAATTACNGTTATATCAGACAAAAACTACAGTTTTTTTGCATTTATTAGGCTATTTATTATAAGAGTTCTTTGTTTCTTATTAGAGGTTAACAGTTTTATATAATGTAATAAATAGCCTAATAAATGCAAAAAAACTGTAGTTTTTGTCTGATATAACAATAAATACAACTTTATAAGCTATCAAGCTATGAAATATGTTTTGCGGCTCCAGACAAAAAAATGTTTTGGAAAAAGGAGCAAAATGGCTCTTTTGGTCAAAAAGGTTGCAGACCCCTGACCTAGGTGGATTAGATAAGGAAATTGAATAGGGCAGTTTAGCCAGGCAGCTGCTGCTAGAATGAAGCAGCGCGTCTACCAGGAGCGGGGGCGAAAACACCGCCCTCACTGGTTGAGTTAATAACGAATGCCAGATGCAGCGTAGGCGGGAGCGGGGTGCGAGAACACAGCCTTCACCAGCTACCTGCTGAACGGAAAGAGTAGAGCAACGCTCCTACTCGCCGAACACAAAAGGGATGTAACTACACCCATGTTACCAGCAGAGGGAGCGGGAGCGAGAGCACTGCCTTCACCTTGCTGGAAAAAAAGAAGTTTCAGCAGGACAGCCTATCCAGTCGGCTGCTGCTAGAATAAAGCATCACGTCTGAGTGACTGTGTCCAGAGCCACCCCAATGAAGGTTAGGCTCTGAGAGAGGTTCAGACAACTCTTTTCCATGTTCACCATGAGACCTAACCGGGATGGTGCACAGATTAGCCAGTCGTCTAAGGAGAGGGAGAGTCCGAATAGGAGCACCCTGAACTGGAAATGACGGCCTCTGAAGGCAAAGCGAAGAAAGTGCCTGTGATGAGGCACAATAGGCACATGAAAATAAGCGTCCTTCAAGTCGACGGACGTGAACCATTCCCCCCTGGCCACGTTACGAAGAATGTCCGCTGTGCTCAGCACATGGAAGGGTAAAATCTTTAGGAACTTGTTGAGTCCCCTCAGATCGAGGATTGGGCGAAGTCCACCGCCTTTCTTCCTTACCAGGAAGTAGGTCGAGTAGAAGCCCCCGGGCTGTGAGATGGAGTCCACAGGCTCGATTGCGCCCGAAGATGAAAAAGGACTGAACTCGTTGACAACGCCGGAACTTATGCCTTCCGGGGTCATACGAGGTCACACGTGACTTTGTTGATATAAATATTCTACCTACGCATGCGCGAGACGGAAGATATCCAGTGCTAAAGCACCGCCTCTGGCGGTCACTAAGGATGAAATAGAACCACTCCACTTCTTGCATTTGTTTGACCATTTATTCTTCCACAACAGGCACAATGCAATTCAATTCAGCTACCTTAAATGGGATAGCGAGTGTGATGGGAATTGCAATAGAAATAGCGGTGAAAAATTGCAGTCAACAGAACAATTCACTCCCAAGCTCCAGTGAACACACCCACCACCAATAAGTGAAAAACTACTACTTAATAAATAAAAAAACAAAGACCTTACACAAAGTTAGTCAAGCTGTGAAAAGTGTTAAACGTTAGCCCTAGCTAACTAATATTCACAATGCTAAATGTTTTTAGCTATTAAAATATCTAATGTTAGCAAAATAACATACAATTACAATTTGCCGTGCCCACTTCGGAGACAGGTACCGATACTTTTCCATACCATTGACGCCAAATCTCATGTTTAGCTATAGAACATCTTCATCTTCAGTGTGCCGCCATATATTTGGTGTCTTCCCGGTCAGTTGTTGCTGCTTTCTCCTTAGGTGCAGATTGTATCAGCTGTATTGTAGACAGCACCTGCTGCAAAGGATCCACAGCCGCTAAGTGGCTCTTATCTAATCCATACATCCTCTTCCCTTATCTCATCTCCTCTATTCATGGTAGTCGGCCCAAACGTGGCACAAGGCATGCACTATCTAATTAGGGGAGAGGCTTGAATATCCCCCAGGCTCCCTTTGTAATAATGCCTGTGTTTTGTCCTACTGTCCACCCAAGACAATAATTAGGTCTGTCTTCTTTCACACACGCTGTTTGCCGGATGGACAATGCTTTTAGACGGCATTACGTCTCCGGGTTTTTTTTTTACAACATGGTTTTTTTTAAGGGCCGAATTTAATCTTTATATATGTGGCAGTAGGAAACCAACTGGGTCAAATGTTTATTGTAACATTGTGTCAAGAGTTGAGTTTGGTTTAGTTATCTGGCTTCTGTGTTGAAGGGGCTGTGTAAAGTAATGTTATGGAAATCTTAGACCTAGTCAATACTGTGGAGATATACAATTAGAATGATCAATCAATAAACTGGTGAAACAAACAGAGTTGTCTTTCTGGATCTTTATTCGTGGCGCCTCGAAGGCACAAGTCTCACAGAGTACAGGGTAGTCTGCAGGAGTGTGCGCAATAGTCACAGAATAGCAAAGCTTATATACAAGATAGGGCGGGCAGACAGAGTTTTTGTGTAGCTAGGCGGAACGCCTCAGAAATCTGCTTTCACACGGATGTCTCATATTGTTATTAGACACCTGTGTCCTTGAGCTGTAGAAAGTATAATGGTTATCAGAATATGGAAGTTCAAACTTTGTGTGAAGAGGAGTAGTTTCAAAATAGTCTGCCAAATCAGCTCTGTGGCCTTGAAGCACTTAAGAATAATAACCCTCATTAGAGTAAACAGAAAACAGCATATATCAGGAAATGGTACAGTAGTGTTAGAAAAAGTCTTCCGTCCACACGGAATCATCTCAAGAAACGTGTCCGTCCACACGAGACCGCTGGAGACGCTGTAGTTCATATGCCGGGCCTGTAAGTGGCGCTGTACTTCCGCCACAAAATACACTAAAAGCAGCGAATAAGACCCCCGAGTATGGTTGCCATGGTTGCCTTTCTGTTTATTCTCCGCGGTGGATTTAGCAACATGTAGTTCTTGTAATTCTCCATGTCCACTTGTTGCTGATCGTTGTGGTAGAGGAGCTGTAGATTTTGCACTAACATCTGTATCATGGTCAGTAGCGCGAACGCAACCCTGTGATCTGCCATTGTTGTTGTTGGCGAAACGCATCAGCAATGACGCGGGGGTGAGCGGGGCTATGATTGTTTAGGGCGTACACACGGTGCCGCAAGCGTTAGGTTACCAGACCTTCCCACTTTGGGATGCGTTATCGTTTGAGGGCTCCGTTTCCGCGGCTCCGTTACGGCCTCGTGTGGACGAACCTTCCATACGATAAAGAACTATAGCGGATAACACCCGTTTCGTCTCCCTGTGGACGGGGTCTCAGTGTAAGTCGTTCCTCCAGCTGCTTGAGTGCCCAGGTAGGGGGTCGTATTTATTTATTTATTTGTATAGTTTGAGTCTCAGGGAAGAGTGAAACAGGGCACATCAGCCTGCACGTGTTGATGCTCCCTCTCCCTGCAGCGGGAAATGAAAAGTGGGATGGCTGCGTCACGCGCCGTTTAATCCGCCCTCCGCCCCCCCCCCCCCCTTCAGCCTTCTTCCCCCCGCGCTGACAGCTGGGTGTTGTGGCTCTGCTGACCGCCATGATGGAGGCTGATGGAGATCACTGGGTGTGAAAATCGTCTACACACTCGCAGACAGGCACTTGACTCCACGTTACAAAAGCAAACAGTCCCAGCTAGGGCCGCAAACAACACTTTTTTTCATCATTGATTGATTTATCGATATATATATTTTTTGATTAAAGTTGCTGTGTCCCAGGAGGGTCGTCCAACAGTCGGGTGGTCGTGGTTCAATCTACAGCCTCTGCTGTCAGTGTCCTTGGGCAGATGCTTAACCCCAAGTTGCTCCCGATGCTGTGGCCAACAGTGTTCGAATGTGTGTAGATGCTGACCTTTATATGTAAAGGGTAATCCATTTACCATTTAACAATTATTGTTTATTTATATTCTGATATATAACATTTTGGAAATTAGTCAAAAAAATCTATCATAATTCTCAAAGTCTCTCAGTCCAAATAAAAAAGATAAAAACATGATATAAAGCTCTGAAAAGCAGGAAATCTTCATATTGATCTTGTTTTGTCAGTCGAAAACCCAAATATTTGTTCTTGTTTTTTACGACTTTAATAACAAACTTGGATTAAAACAAAATAAATTCATTGTTAGGGCTGCCTGTACCTTTTATTACAGAGACAGATATTAAGGGGGAGATAAAGAGCATTATGCGTATGTAGATACTCCCTATGTTGGAATTGAACCCTTGTCCACAACTGTATGGACTAAGCCCCAGTACATGGGTAGCAGGACATTTATATTTAATTTAGAATTTAAAAAGAAAAAAAGGTCCAAAATCTCCAAATGTTAAGGCTACAATATTTTTATTTTCTGTGATTTTTGCACAAATAACTACAACACCCTGCAATCCGCCATTATATTGTACCTTTCTTTGTTAAGACTGCCTTCACCTTTGACTGAACTGAATTTCAATGTTAGTCTTGATGCTATCAGGGCTGACGGAGACCTTTCCGCAGCAGAAACAGGTCATGGGTAACAGCGGACCTTCTTCCTCTATGACACACTCCATATTAAGAGTGCAATGATATAGAGTAGTTTCAAAAGAAGATGGTGTTCACTGTGCTGTAAAGACTTTGCATGCTGCATGAGGTTGGCTCTCCATGGAGATTAACAGAGTCAGTGTGCTGGCCTGGCTTGGCTTGACTTAGTTGGGGGGGGGGGGGCTTATCTGCTTTCACTCTCACTGGATCTCCTAATGTCTACCACACAAAGCCCGCCCCGGTGAATATTAATGTATCATTACTTGACAGTGCGTAGGTCTCCTTTTGGTTTGTTTCGACTTAAATATATGTCTTTATATTGTATCATATTATGACTGTTGACGGTTTTTTTAATTATGCATTTTGGCCCCGTTTTGTCTGATCAATATTAATGTACCAATCATCTGTAGAGCTTTTTCATCTAATTTTTTCTCTTATAATAATACACAAGTCTCTCACATGTATTTGCAGTAAGTTTACCTCACTATATTTTTAAATAGGATTTATTGAGTTTTCAGTGAAATAAAAAGGAAGGGAGAGAGAGAGAGATGTCGTAACAAGGGGACAATTATTTATTATTATTTCAATTGTATGAACGTAAATGGCCATCAAACTTTATTGCTTATAGTCTAGAAAGGGCTCAACATTGCTTCCGATTGTCTCCTTTTCCAAAGGACATTACATGCCTCGCTATAATTTAAACATAATCTCTCTTTTCCTTTTGTTTTCAGACAAGTTCAACACCTACGTGACGCTGAAGGTGCAGAATGTCAAGAGCACGACGATCACGGTGCGGGGGGACCAGCCCTGCTGGGAACAGGATTTCATGTTGTAAGTTATATCAAACAAAGACACAATTTAATAATTCACCAACTGTAATAAATATGACTTTCATGGTAAAGAAAGCAAATTATGCACTGACATCAAGCACTTCAATACAAACTACAACCAGAATGTTTTTATAAGACTGGTTTGGCCAGTTGCTCCCTTTTTAAAATGATATAAAATATTATTGGATATATATAAATAAATACACATATAAATGATAAGTAATGGTGCAATACAAATGTTAAAACAAATAATTAAAATATAAAAAGTTATAAATAAAATAGAATGGAATATCAAAAATATGTTCATAATATCCCATATTATTATATAATCAGTATCATTCATTTATGTAAATAAAGACACGTTCCAAAAAAAGAATCTTTTTGTATTAATGTGAACGGTCCCCAGCCTAGTTCCTACCTGGTGCTTTGAGCTCTGGGAAAGGTTTCTTTGTTTTCACGCTGTGCGAGTATCTTGTTAAACAGCTGCTGTTCATTTCCTCTTTGTAATTCATTGGTTTAATTTCCTCGTTTTACTTTCCCCGTGAAAGGTATCTATGGTGACAAGAGAGCCGGCACGTTGTTGCATGCGTGTCATTGTTTGTCTTTTGTTAAGTCGCTCATTGCTACACTGTTTGTTTTTCCAGACCTTCATCGCTCTGCTGTCCATTAATGATGTGTCTGCTATGATGTAAACCAAAAAAAAAATCTATATATATTCATCTACATTTCCAGCAAATGCCCAGCACCATTCGTTGGGGGAAAAAAAGTATTTATTGTATGTAAAATCTGTTAAAAACATTTTTTAAAAACTCCTCAGTTTACTTTCCTAACATGGTGACATCACTTTGTAACACTCACACTTCTATTGGCTACACATTGTACATGATAGACTCAGACCTATAAATACCTTTTTGAACATCGAAGCATGTAAACATGTCACACTAGAGGCACTAAATATAAAATATGAACCAGAAATGTGCCATATAGGGCCTCTTTAATGTTTGGGTAAACAATATCAGGATATACTGTATAATGATTTCTGTTTAGTCAATAATCAAAAATCCGTATGAAAAAACACACAGGAAAGCCTTAGTTAGTATACTCCTGTGTGAAATAAATACTTAGCAAATGAAATGTAGCATTTTTAAATGTTAAGAACATTTCAACTGAAATTATAGAGAAATAATAAATACATGTAAGTCCTATCATATATCATGGTATATAGCAAATGATATATAATGCCAACTGTATGTATCATTATATGCATGAATGAGCACATGATTTAGAAAGCCTACAGTAAATGCCAATATGCACCTGGACACTCAGCCCCCCCCCCCTTAATTTTTCTCAATGAGCTGCTCTCTTTGATTATCTTTTCCTCTCATCTTCCTTTTGTTTGGCCCTTCAATCGATATAAGCTGCCACAGATAGAGAGAATATGCAAATGCCCTTGTAGCGCTGCTCCTTTCAAAATTGATATGCCATTTTGTTGCTGTCATCAAGCTGTTTTTCAAGCCCTTTGAAAAGCATGTTGAATTACAAAACAAGGCTTGAATATGATAGCTAACACACAACGAAGAAAGGAAGTAGTCTTTGTCCTCGACAGTTATGGGGCCTGGCAGTAACATGTTTTCTGATAACAAGGGCTCAAACTACACAACTATTGTTATTATCCGCTGAGTGCGCTGACCTTTCCAACCCTTGGGTGTTAAAAAAGTGATATAAACACGCTTGACAGTACTTCCATCATTTTTTTTATTTGAATCTTTCCTCAGTGAGATCAACAAGCTGGACCTCGGCCTCATTGTCGAGGTGTGGAACAAAGGCCTCATCTGGGACACCATGGTGGGGACATCATGGATTCCTCTGAAGGGTATCCAACAATCAGAGGAGGTACTGTTAGTAATTCTTGAACCCTGAGAGCAGGACAGACTAAAAAGAGTCAAGGGATGCTTATAAAAGTTAACAGCATTTAATTACACAAAAGATGCGGTGATGTACAAATGAAATTTGCGAGTGGAGGCTCTCTCCCCATGCGTCCGGTCAGCCGAGGTCAGGGAAAAGAGGTTGATTCTTGGCTTGCTCTTCCTGTTGTCATCTGAGGTCTTCTCCTATTGGCCGGTGTCGTCGGGGGGCGGGTCCAATGCAATTCCTGCCTTTTTCTGTTGCTAAATTACATCATTCTGGTGTCTGTGGTTATTTAAACATTCCCTGATAAACGTTATTCAGCGTCAATAAATGAGTGCTAATCCCAGTGTGTTTAGTGTACAACATCACATGTCATTTCACCTTGCTTCAATTCACTGTTTCGAAAATGTAGCATTTCGCCACATGCTAATGCTAACCGGAAGTCATGTGTGAATCTTCGGTTTTTAGAATAAAACAGATTTAAATTAAATACAGTGTATTTAATTCAAATTACGCCATATCAACGTTGATTTTAATTTCTAACAGTACGCATATGCACCCATACACAATATAAATAACACAAATTCTGTGAGATCAGGTTCAGGTTCTTTATTTGTACCCGTAGGTAAGACAAGGAATCAATCCTGACACACTCTAACAGACACATCTCTAATAAAATAACTACCGGTAATAAAAGTACACCCTGCTCCATCAAATGTTAAAAGGAAAAACACTAGTACAAACACAAGATATAAACCTAGGATATAATACTTGAAAATTATGATTACTGATAATGATGGCAGAAGGTTAGTAGAATAATGAACACTAAGAAGATCCAATTGTCCAAATGTCAATATCAATGTATGTGTCTTCATTGCAGGAGGGCTCGGGGGACTGGCTCTTTCTGGACGCAGAGGTCCTGATGAAGGCAGATGAGATATATGGCACCAAGAACCAAACGCCTCATCGAGTCCTGCTGGACTCTCGCTTCGAGCTGCCTTTTGGTGAGATACGAGAGTCTCTGACACAGTTGTCAAGTTCAGGTCTTTATGAAAGACATTTTCCCATCATCTCAAGTACCAGCTCTGACCACAATGGGTGCATGATAATAAAAAGTACATTTGAGTTTCTGGTTGGTGTAGGGCTAATCAAACCGTGATCCAATGAGATACACAAAGGTGCACACGTGTTTCCTGCTGAAATGTCACCAGTCGCTGCTCAGGAAATGCTATCCAGCCTGGGGCACTGCCTTTCAAATTAATCATATCTTCTAACCTGGTGTCCTGTAGTCTTATGCAAGCATCTGTCATTGTAATTCAAATACAAAAATAAAAGACTAAATGAACAACATGTTCAAGAAGACTACAAGGTCACCTTCTCCCCGTAACAAAATTAAATCATAACCAAATAGCGTTATCTCATTAAATCAGGACACTTAAGTTGAACAACTAATGGCTAGAAACAGGGCACTCTTAGACGTTCGTCCAACCGCCTAATGTCCCGTCTCTGGTTCCACTGGGGATTATAAGTTTCTGGTCTGCTTAAATTGAGGGCACTGACTCGTATATGGCAGATCTTCCTTTATTAACTTAGGTTCAGTAAATATAATGTGGTCTTCGCCAGGCTGTTCCATTGTGGCCAACAGGATTAAGGAACTATTAAGAATATGTTTATATATAGCTAAAATGAAGAAGAGGAGAGTATTACTGGGACCTTTCCCTTAGCTTAATCAAACATCCCACAATGCCCCTTCTTTTTATTTTCAACATACTGTTCCTGCAGACTTCATTTATACTCATTTCATGTTCATTGATCAAAGAAAATGCTAGACCTCAGACACCTCCTTGATTAGCTATTAGCTTGTTAGCTTGACTTAGCATTTAAAAAAGTAATTTCAAGTAATTTCATTCAAATATATTTGCCCTAGGGTACCATTCAGTTACAGTGTATCCAGAGGGTGGTCGTCCCCTGTGCTCCTCCTGCTCTCTGTGGGTTTGACCACAGTTATCCTACAGTATCTCTGATACCAGGACTCCATACTGTGATCATCAAAGTTAGAGCAGGGAGTCTGTCCACCAAGTGTTTTTTTATTTGTATTCAAGAGGAGACCTTTCAAGGTTGCAGGAGGCCATCGTGACTCTCTGAGCCACCACAGCCATTCATTAAAGCTGTGGGTCGGTGTGTCTTTGAAGCCTGGCCTTTGTGTGAGTGGCCTTTAATGTGCATCTGTCGACTGAGCAGCAGCAAATGCCCCTGCAAAGAGGGAATAGTGAGAAGACCTGCTCCAATACTTAAAACAACCTAATCATTTGATTATTTTAATTGATTGTTTGAGGGCTATTGTTGATGAGAATATCAATGGATTACAGAGCCGGCGGAGGGGAGTAATATTGCCAGAAACATACACAGATAAACATGATTAAGTTAATGAAAATACAAACTTATTTTATATATAAATGATATGTTCATTAATACAGTTATATTAGAGTAGAATACATTGCGTTTTGTGAAATTCCTTATTTTTAGGGCTGCTGCTCTCACAGAAAGAGATTTTCTCGAATTAGCCAAAATTGGCCTAAAGTAAGATGTACCACTCCATGTAGAATTTTGAAAACCAGACAGAGGTTCAAGTTGTTTTGGAAACTTTCCACACTGAATGAATGACAGCCCTGAATAATAGGACATCGTGATGACTTCTTTTGTTATAGCATATTTTAATCGTTTGTTTACAATTAAGTGAATCTGTTGGCTTTAGTTTGGCGGCCAATATTTATTTTCTCATTGCTCAGGCTCATACAAAATGAAAGGGGCTTAGTGTATTATGATGAGCAGGATGTTTACTTCAAACATAGTAAGGTGACGTGTGTGTGTGTGTGTGTGTGTGTGTGTGTTGTAGACATCCCGGATGATGAGGCTGAGTACTGGACAGGCAAGCTGGATCGCATCAATACCATGGGGATCCATGATGAGGTAAAGTGTAATTTGACAAGATTTGACTTGTATTCATATTTGTTTCAAGAAAGCACCGCACATCAGTTTATTCATACTGATCATATCTCTGTATGTCTTAAAAGATGTGCTGAATGTTTTCGTCTACTACATCTTCTTCTAATGCCACATGACTGGTTTTCCTTTCTATAAATATTGATGGAGTGGTAATGGTGAATTGTTCTAGTAAATAATAGATATATGCCAACATGCAAAACAAATTGAATGCTGTTTTCTTTCCCTCTCTCCTCTGTAGTATCCTCTTCACGATGACGTTCAGAGTCGCCCTCTGCCATTTGCCGCCTCCCAGTGCTGTGAGTGCACACGCTCCTTTTGACCTCTAGATAGAGCCATTTCTCCGTCTTTCTATTTTCAGACTTTAATATTATTTCCTCTCACATCCTTACTGTTCTGCCGAACTGAAATCCTCTTTAATCAGAGTTTAAAATGAAGACTTAAAAAGGAGTCCTTCTATCTTTTGAACCCTTATGCATGTCAAATGTTTGTCTTCCTCTCGGATGGGGTTTTCTCTCATCCTCTCACTATTACAACACAGGGACACTTTTGTTTTCACAACCCCTGCCTCCTCTGACTGTACCTCTCACTTGTAACGTCTGCACTTCCACCAGGCAACTATTTCGGATGGGCTGAGCCTCTGAGTATGTAAACAAAACTTGATCAAATTCTCCCCCCCCGGCCAATCCTCAGTGCCCTCTGCATGTCCTAATGCCCCACATTCCCCGATAACATATAATCTATAAGGATTTATTGCATTTTTATATCATTATTCCACCCTAACACTTTTTCCTAAATGATTTCCTAATCCCTTTTTTTCCTCTTTTTTCAGCTTCCTTTTCCTGCTTACGCTGTTTTCCTTTTTATGCTCTGTGCTGCGGTCATATAATTCTCATTACCCATGTTACCTTAATTCTTACAATATTGCTATCTGACACATCCTAGAAAGATAAATGTCAGAAAGTCAGTGTTTTCTCTCCTTGAAATGTAGACATTTAGTGAGTAGCAATACATAGATATAATGCTGAACAACAGGAGCCCTTATCAAATCCTAAAGGGTCCACGTTGCAGTTGCATCTTTGAACCAATAGGTTGTAGTCATTGCTAAACTATATTTTTTACTGTATGTCACCTTGACATTTTGTTGTCCTCCCAAGAGATATCAATAGAATCAGTTTATCTTTAACACTCTCCCTTTATCGCTCTGGAAAGATAAACTCAGCTGTCGCCTCCAGTACACACCAAACTCACTCTTGAAAAAGGTTAAGGGTTATTATTAGGTTTGGCAAGGTTACTTTCAAAAATGTTGAGGTGCTTTTCTTATCATTACTAGTATATGATACGTGTTGTACAATATAAACATCAAGGATAACGTAGATAAAGCTCAATGTTTTTCCATTAAGCAGGAAGTCTTGTATGTATAAATACCATATAATCTTTAAAAAAAAAAAATGCATGCCCATTGCCCTTCATTTTAACCTGGCATATGCTGTTTTATTTGAGTTTATTTGATAAACTGCAAATAATTGTGTCCACTTAGACAACATTTGAACTGGTTGGCATCTTCCGCTTTGACATGAGTTAATGAGGATTTTATTTTTAAATGCTTGCTGCCACACAAAGCATACTTATAGATGTTTCAGGTGAGATTCCTTCACTTAGCTCACCCTGTTTCCTTTTTGCAGCTCTGGATGACCAGGACAGTGCCGTAGACGACCGGGACAGTGACTATCGCAGTGAGACCAGTAACAGCCTGCCTCCGCGTTACCACACAACGGCTCAGCCCAACTCCTCCATGCACCAGTATCCCATGGGGCCTCGGCAGCAGCAGCACCCGGACTCCTGCACAGACTCTGTCCACAGTTTGGACCTGGACTACAGGGACCAGATAGCAACCAGGTAGGGAGAGTATCCATTGAAACACACCTTCTGAATGAAACTCTTAACTTTGTCACAGAGTCCCAATCACATAGGCAGCACTCTCTGAAATCAATATTGAAACAAGAATGCCACCAACAACACCCTTATTAATCAGAAATTATCTTTATCTCAACAATGAACCTTATAAGACATCAGGTTATCTTAAAGTATATCATTTCTCTTTTTTTTTTATAAAATACATACGTCGGAGGGCCTTCCCTTTTAGAGTTATAGCCTAATGGCAAAAGTAGGCGGTTAAACAATTATGCATAATTCTTTCTTCTGAATAGTTTATCTGACCTAGAATCAAACATGGCTGGAGCTTTTATTTGTTTGTCTGTGAGCTGTTTTTACATTTGTGACAGAGTAAATGGTTTGTTAAAGGAAGAGGGATCCACTTCATAGGCTAAATGGATTTTGTCACAAGGCACATCACACTCAAATTATAAATCAAATACATTACTTTCAATTTAAAGAGGAAAAGAGGAGCGTTACTTTCACTATAGGAATAATAATACATTATACTGTGGTTGTTTTTATTTTGAAGCCAGTTTTGGTCAATAATAATGGTCCCAGTGCACTGGATGTACTTTTGTTTACTCATGGATTGTTGTAAAATACATGGGTACCAGTGAGACTGCTGCAAATCAGCCTGTGTGGAACGATAGGAAGTTGATCCGGATAATTCTACATCAGAAAAAAGAAAAAAAATTGGATTACAGCCAGGGAGAGCTCATCGGTCGTGTTTGTTTTTGGTCATGAGGGTCTGTTTTGTTGGTTGATAGTTGAGCCATTTCACTGAAGAAATCCTAAGACATACTGTTTAATACCCATGCACAGCAATATATATTTTATGGTATTTTTAGATTAATTATTGCAATTTTCTTTGCATTATCATTGTAACCAAGCTTTTCTTATTCATTCTTAAAAAACATTGCTAGCTAATCTGAATTTCGTCTTTGCATTTGCATGAAACTGTTCTCGTCTTTATTTTTCTGCTTAACTTTTATTTGCATTTTTGTTTTTTCTTCTTTGTTTGCTTCTTGTCTGTCCCTATGCTCTTTCCTTCCCATTGTAACATCAATTTATTTAAACTAAATTAGACCATTAAATCAGAAAGGAAGGGTCAGAATTATACCTGTGGATTCTGGCATGGGTGTTGAAGATTGGGAAAACAAATACAAAGGACAGAGCAAGCCTCAGTTGAGTGAATTCTTGGATGATGAAGAAGAAAATGTTATCCTTCGAATGGGAAGACCCAACCCTGAGGCGTCTCGTACCTCTACCATTCAAAATACTCAACGCAGTGGTTTTCTGCCTCCCACCTACCCCCAGGGTTATGACACTATTGATCGACGGCGAAAGAAAAGGATAAGAGACCCAGGAGGGTTGCTAAGTACAGATGCTGACAAAAAAAGAGAAGAGGCTTTCCCCTCTGACATTGCACTGCTCCGTGAGAAGAGAGGGGAGCTATTTATGCGGCAGGTAGTTGAGATGCAGGAAGAAGAGGAGCGCATAACATCCTGCCTCAGGCCGTACCAAAATGGCCTTCTCTACAAGACAAGGATGTGGGCGAAAAATGAGCTAGACAACACCTTGGAGAATTATGTGGCATACAAAAAAGAGCAAGAGGGTAGAATGAGGAAACGGTTTGATTTTGATTTGGAGGACTCTGAGGATCTTCGCTACTCCATGGGAGCAGAGGAGGATATTGATGATATCGCCTTTATGGCTCAGGACTATTACTCGGAGAACGCAAGACATTATAAAGACAGGTATTCCCTCGCCTGTCCCTCAGAAAATTCTCATGGTCCTCGAGAGAAAAAGTCTGGCAAAGCTAAACTTGGAGGATGGGCCCCAGAGGCAATGCTCTCTCCTGTCGAGGAACCAAGTGATGAATATGTAGACCCTTTGGATGAACTCCAGTGTCTAGTTGAAACTGTTTCTGAATACCTTGCTGAAAAAGAAGAAGAAATGAGCAAGTATGGTTCCCTTCCTAAATCAAACAAATCTAGGCTATCATCTATTGGAAGCTATAGAACCGATTCTCTCGGCGATGACCAACATAGTTCACCAAAAGATCCTAAAGAAGAAACCCAATCACAAACTCCTGATCAGGGCATTTCAGGAGTAAAAAATGCCATGAGCTCATTATTTAGTTCTCTTACTGACAAAGTTGGAGGAAGCCCCAAACAGCCGGTCCCATCTCAACAGGCGCCATCTGCAGAACCCTCCAACCAATCTGGGCTAACAAAACTATTTTCCTTCATTCCCAAATCAAATAGCTCAGCTCCTGTGGCTGTTGTATCTCCGGTAGACAATTCTCATGAAAAACCATTCAGTTCTCCGCCTTCTCATCCATCACAATATGCCAAGACACAAGTTCATTATCAAGAAACAAAGTCTCCCACAAGGAGTCAGACTAGTAAAAAAGAACATGTACCAGAGTTTGTAACCAAACCTCAAAATGCTCCAGGTAACTCGGTCTTGGGAAAATTGAATCCTTTAAAACTTTTTTCTGCAGTAGATAATGGGAACGCCGCTGAACAGGCACCAACATCCACACATCCTCCAGGCCATACACAAGGGGACGAGCAATATGTTCATCAAGGTAAACATTCAATGACAGCAGAAGGAAAATCCGAAGCATTCATTTCATTGCAAGAGAAACATTCGGAACAAAAACGAGATGGAAATATGTATGGCATAGAAAATCCAATGATTTACAAACAAGAACATGTGCCTAATCTGGGTCCAGCAAGGTCCACTAGCCAAACAGAATCAGTAAATTCTGGATTCTTTAGTCCTTTCAAGAAGTCATTGAGTTCATTGCTCACACCTGCTGGCCTCATTCCCCCCCAGGGAGCTCCACCTCTGGCGGTTTATCCAGTGTTTAGATCTACAGAGGCTCCCCGACTACCAGTAGAGAGCCCATCATTGAGCAGTAGACCTTCTTTCCTCCCCTCTGAAAATGTCTCAACTCAACACCCCAAAGCAGAGGGAGGCATGCTCTCTGGTTTTTTAAAGTTTGCATCTAGTGAAGATGTTAGTGTCTCCATGAACACACAGAATCCTGTGCGATCATTTCATAATTCAACTTCAACAACCTCTACCACAATTACACAAAATCCTGCTGTGCCCCAGGAAAACACTGAAAAAGGATGGTTTTCCAGTATATTTAACCCTACCTCTGCTCCGTCTGCTTCAAGCCAGAATATGACAAGTAATTTGCAAAGTCAAAACAGCAATGTGCCATCCAGCTCACAACAACAACAAAAACAACAACAACAAGCACAACAACTTTCAAATCAGAAACCAATTGTCCCCCATGGAATGCAGCATCAAGCCCCAAATCAGACAGAATCACAAAGTTTTTTGACAGGTCTTTTTAAAGGGAGCTCAACCGAGGACAACTCTCCTATGGGCTCGAATCAACCAAAACAAGGACTGCTATCTGGACTACTTAAATTTGGCTCTTCCAGTGAGCTTTCTGCCAATATGCCTCATCAGGCTTCCCAAAACAATCAACCACACAGGAGCAGTGATCTCCCACAGATTCCCAATCAACCTCCACCACAACAAAGTACGTCAGGACCACGGATGGGGGGCCTTGTCTCAGGGTTATTGAAGTTTTCATCAACAGAAAGTATCCCACAAAATGTTCAGCCTTCTGAAGCTGAAAAGCAGAGGAACATCCCTGGAAATCTAACTGGCCAGCAGCAGATTTCTAATGAAACTCAGCAAACGCAATCTCAGCAAAAGGGGCTTTTGTCTGGCTTGTTTAAATTTGCCTCATCTGAGAATGTTTCAGGCAGCCAAACAGTTCAGCAACAACAAAGCAATGTTCAACACAATCAACAGGGTTTCAATCAACAGCATAGTCAACAAGATCCAAACCAAGGGCATCATCTCAGAAATAAAGCATCAAATCAGCAGCCAGGCTTTACTCGACAACAAACGGTTCCACTCCAGCGGCAACCATCGCAACAAAGTGGTATTTTATCTGGTCTCTTTAAATTTGCTTCAGCAGACAACATTAATAAACAAGAGCCCCCATCAGCTCAGCAGCATGGAATTATGCCAAGTAAATCTAGCTATGAGCAACCAAGTGCAAGAGATTTCCCAATGTCCAATCAAAATCAACCACAAAATAGCTCATCACAAAGAACCACTCAATCTAGTAGTTTGCTTTCAGGACTATTCAAATCCTCCTCAGAAAATATGGGTCAACAGCAGCAGTCTGAAATGATCCATGAGACACAACTAGAAAGACCACTTCAAAGCAACCAAACCATTGAAACACCGGTGGACACTGCAAGTCAATCTGGCATGCTCTCAGGGTTGTTTAACAAATTCAAAAAATCATCTGAGAACATCGACCCAACCTGCCAGACATCGGCAGTACAATCACTGCATGAGAGAGTCAATAATAATTCAGTCACAATGAAGACCCCACTTCACACTAGTGTATCACAACAATACTCACAAGAACATACAGAGAAAGAGAAGAGGATTCTTAGACCTGCCCAACAAGGGTTTTCATCTGGACTCTTTGGCAAAAATGTAACTGAGGAAGCTTGTACTCCCAAACAAATAGACAAATCTGGTCAAATTACAGAACCACAGGCACCCTCAAATAAGTACACAGAGTTACATTCAGGCATATTAAAAAGTGCTTCCACAGACTTTGGAAGGGACCGGGATTCTCTCTATCCTGGACAGAGCAGACATGCTTTTATTAGGGTACCTGTGTCAATTGATGGTGAGAGTTTGGATTTAAGAACCTCTGCTACTTTTGCAAGATCTCTTCAGAATCGAGCACCATATTCCTCAATTAGCACTGGCAATATATCTCAGATATATTATTCTGGCACACCTCAGTCAGTTCCCCCAATGGCTTATAGTACAGGAAATATTCATTCACTTTTACAAAGCCATACTCTTCCGTCAATAATGTCCATGCAGCCATTTATTGGCAG